AAAAATGCATAAAACGGGTTCTATTGTAATGCTAGTGTCACGAGTTGAAGCTAGTTAGTGCACGCTAACTAGTAGTAAGTGTAGTAAGTGCACGCATGCATACACTGTAGACAGAAAAGTTTAGTAATGTCAAATAATGAAAAGTTAATAAACCATTGTAACAGTTCAACGTTGGCACCCGCACAACCCTCAATTGCAATATTACAAAAAACTACAATACATTGACTAATAATGATTAATAACTGTTACAGCAAAACCGCAGATGGGGTTCTCCTTGTCTCTCGGCTTCTTCTCTTCCTTCTCTCTTCTGCTGCTTCTCTCTTTCATTAGCTTCTTCTCTTCTCCTATTCTCCAGAGTCCAGCACACGTGTCTCTCAAACACAAACTTCGGCCCCTTCTCCTCTTCTTCAGCTTCTTCTTCTTCTCCTCTTTTCTCCAGCCACACGTGTCTCTCAAACACAAACTTCGGCCTCTTCTCGGCCGCCACGTCTCTCTCTCCAGACTCGACTCAACCGGTCCATCTCAATAGTAACTTCACTCGTCTACATCAGACACAATCTTTACACGTCTACATCAGACACAATCTTTACACGTCTATATCAGACACACAATCTTTACACGTCTATATAAAACACAAACTTTACACGTCTATATCAGATACAAACTTCACACGTCTATTCTAGACAAAAACTCCAGGCCGTCTGACCTCTCCCGCACGTCTCACTCTCGCAGCTATCGCGCGTGCGTACGAATCACATAGGGCATATATTTAGCTCATGCCGCGTGTATAAACTCTGTCACTTGTGACAGCTAGTGTGAGTTATTGTGTTGTTTTGTATTCTGTCTTTGTGGCACGTACTTTGTATTACGTCATTTGCAGATTGGAAGCATATATGATGTATTAGATGACCTTTGCAAAGATGGCTCCAACAAGTCGCTATATCCACAGAGCTTTGAACAACTGGGACAAGATTATGGTTTTGTCTTGTACAGAACAAAAGTGCCAGCCTTCGATTCTTTTCCGATCTTATTAGATCTCACGCACGTTAGGGACAGAGCCTACATATTAGTTGATCAGGTATGTAATGCTTTGAGTGCATATACGTGTTGTGAAGCTTATATACTTTCTCCAGTATGTAGATGGATTTTCTGTCATGCGAGTAATCATGAAAGTGCAAGTATTCAAGAATTCCTAATTAAATTTCCTCGTAATGAGCAGAAATGGTATAACCTGTTTGTTAAATATTCATTGCAGAAATATTAAGGACATAACATGTTGTAATTGTGTTTTACTTTATTTCAAACAGTTGTAACAAATGATACAAATTGTTTATGCAAAAACTATATAAGATATCATGTTTTTAAAGTATAATAGTAGCCACATATTGAAATGAAATAATCTACATGAGTCACTGAGTTATTTAATATTTCTATCCTGTCTTTACAAGTTTCCTGTAGGAATTCTGAGCAGAATGGACGGATCATATGCTATTCAACTTCCTAAACTTAAGCAGGGGCAGCAGCTAGACATACTAGTTGAAAACCAAGGAAGAATCTGCTATGGCCCTTTAATAAATGATGTCAAGGTTAGTTTTAGCTATATTTAGGCTAAGTTTAAATATGCATTTATTTATTCACTCATTAGCATGTTGTTTCACTAATTTTAGATCTATGAAACGACAACATTACGTATATTACTTCTTTTATTACGGCTGTTGTTGCTACTACTACTGTTACTATTACCACTGCTACTGCTACCGCTCCCACTACCACTGCTGCTCTGCTGTTGCTGGTACTCTTGCTACTATACCACCGTCTCCCCCGCTGCCGTTGCTGCCACCACGACTACGTAAAATTAATGATAATACTGAATATATTCCACATGCAAAAGTTGAAATTGTAATCCATTGAATTTCGTGTACGTATGCAGTTGTAATTTACCCAAAATCTAAATTCAATTTCATTAAAAAAGAAATAACTGCAAGTGAATATCTGATTCTCATTGTGTCACTATAGTTAGGTTTACATAAAGAATCTTTACTAGGTGATCATTCTGCACAGGCTAGGCGTTTCATAATGTAAACTCGCAACTCATTGTCACTATCCATACCATGCACTTACTTTCCCCTGGCAGTTAGCATTAATCAATACGTTGGCAGTAATATCTTGGTGGTAAGTTCAAGTTGCAATTTGTGAGCACTCTGAAGAGGACGCACGATATTTTTCTGACAAAAATCAATTGCGAGCGAGTATAGTATCACTGTACCTAGCTGCAGAGTGTTTTAGTTTTGCTAGTCTGACCATCTTTGTGCCCATAGCACACATCTATACACAGTAAGGTTTAAAATGTGCCTTTAATCATATGTTCGAACAACCAGTGTGAATAACATTTCAATATAACAAATATCTATTATCACGCAAAGAAAAGTTGCAGCCATTGAAAACTTTGCATGTATCTGTCAATATGAAAGTGCACAATTTTAAATTCCTATTTTAGCACCAAAACTTCATTCACAAATATTGAAACACCTAAATGAGTAATTGTTTGTATTTCATGCAGCTCTCGGCCACTTCCCCTGACAACTCGTGAATGGCTTATCTTTCCATCTGTCTAACTAACAAGTACTGGAGGTGTTGGTGTTGTGGAGGAGGTCTGGTTTCTGATATATATATATATGGCTTCTGCAGCCAGATACAGACCTGCTTATAAACGATGAGGCTGTATATGTAGTATATATGAAGCAGCCTCCATGATTTCCATCGGGTTCTGTAAGCATCAATAATGTATGGCCGTGTGCAGCACCTATTCAGTAATTACACTTAGTTTGCATTCAAATTTTTCCAATGATGTTTTCACCATGTAATGCCTATAATAAGACTAACTTGTCAGGTTTTATGCGTGTGGTTTTACCACCATTCTCCAATTTTATTTAAACACAAATTCAATAAGCTAATTGGATGTTAGTAAACTGTTTGCAGTTTCACAGTATAATAATGTATTACATTTACAATCACGTACACAAAATTTATTCTTCTATCTCGGTGTATATTTTTGCAAAGGCATTTTACATTTGTGTACATCGGGCAATCATAATATATACTCATGATGCATATGTGTGATCATGCAGAATGTCTTCAAAGAATATAAATTGTTAGGACACATTGTATGCTCACAGTAAGTATATTTACTGTCTGTCAGAGTAATGTTCAGTGTATTTGGGTCATATGAGAAAAAAAACATCATTTCCAAGCTCTTTATAGGGCTGTTAAATATGAAATCAATATGAATATATTACATTGTTTTACATCAAGTTACATCATTAAAGATTTCTTCTCGTTTTTGCAGGTTATCTATTTTTAATGGCTAACAGTAATTACACAGAAATGTGTATCTCTATGTAAAATGCAATCAGTTTCAACATCACTAATATTCAAGAGTTTTACAAGAGACGATTTCAAGAAGTCAGCAATTCTCAATTTACCCAAATATAATTGCTTCTGCGCGTCACCAGCAGAATCCTAAGTCGCAAAATGATGCAACGAGGCACTCAGAACTTGTATTCTCAACTGCGGCTTCGCCTCAGGCTGCAATTAACCCGATTAAATATTTCTCGTCGCCAGGGGCTGATCTGGAACGTGACCATGAACAATAGAACGCTGACTAACTGGGAGATGTTCTCGCTTCCTTTCAACGCAACTCCGAGCTGGTTCACGAGTGCGTACGACTCGCGGGTGAAATCGTCTGCCGACACCGCCTCGCAAAGCTTCGCAGCAACCCATTCACCAGCAAGCTCGCGAGATGACGAGGCGGTATCTGACGGGCTCGAGGACGAGACCGCATCTCAGTCTCAATCGTCGTCACCACTCGAGGGCGAGCGTCTCGACGCCAACGTGCGCGCGCTCGAGATGCTCGCGAGGCTGCTCCGCACGAGGGAGCATGAACGTTCACTGGAACGGCTAAAGCGGCGAGGAGAGACGTTGGTGCGTCCGCCGCCGTCACTGCTGCAGAGCGGGGCACCGGCACGAGCCGTGTTCACGCAAGCAATAAGGTGAGCTAGCTGTCGTGATCGTATCTTTCAGCAATGACAGGCTGGCAGAAGTATCGAAAGAGTTTGACGTACAGGCGAATCTTGCGGGGAGTGTTGCAGGATAATAGGTTAATTGGTTCGTTCGCTCGCGAGCCGTTTGTGATTGAAATTCTCGAGCTGCTATAGATAGGACTAGCCGTGCCTTTTGCAGATGAATAATCATCCGGTGATTTTTCATTCGCGAAGACATCTTGGCTGACGGTTGTGTGCATCTTAGCTGTGTCGAATGGGTTACGGTTACCTAATCTAAAGTCGCTGAACGATTACAGGTACTACTATGCCGGGCTTCCTCTTCCTGCAACCGGACACCCTGTGCCTTCTTTTTATACGGGGGCGTTCATAGTTCCTGGTCACATTAAATCGCCGCAGGACTCCTACTTGAGATTGAATGGTTGGTACAAGGTAATGGAAATTATAAGTACAGTATATCATGGTACAAGGTTAAGATGATGATCATAATGATATAATGATCGGGGCACGTCATTTGCGACGTGATCTTCGTAGCGTTTCTGTTCAATGACATTCTGCTGTAATGTGTACTGTACCTTTTCCTATCTGGTCTCATCAGTCGTTCGTAAGTTCGTTGACGTTTGTATGTGTTTTATTGTAATACCGGGCATGCGATAAACAATCGGTGATGTAAAGTTCACGTACGTTTTGCAGCCACGGTAAAGCGATCCCACTATTTTATTTCTCGGGTGTGTTGTACGGTTTATATTACATATCTGATCGTCAGCCGACATTATGAAACATGTAACATGACCGTTTAGCTGAGTCATTACTGATATCAACTATCTCCGTCGAAACGTTCCTCCCACGCGATATTAAAATCGAAGCACTGCTGACATTTGAGCGTGTTTTCTGGGCATCTCTCAAGGGCGTGGCCTTTGTGAACGGCTTCAACGTTGGACGCTACTGGCCTGTGATGGGTCCGCAGGTGACGCTCTACGTGCCCGCGCACGCGCTCAAGTCTCACCCGCAGGTCAACGTCCTCGTTCTGTTCGAGCTAGAGTGGTCGCCATGCACCGCTGCGGACGACGCTGCTGACGAGGATGACGACGGGACAACGGCCGAGTTCGGTGACGGCGTCGAGAGCGGCAACCGCGACCTGACCGCATGCAAGGTCGAGTTTGTGACGAAGCACGTCATCGACGGACCCGTGTTCAGAGCGTGGGATGGGGGGTGGTACAGGCCGTAGCTACCGGTGGTGTGCCGCGGAGAAATCAAGGTGGGCTGCGGCGAAATTCAGGTGGGCCGGGGAGGAATTAGGGTAGGCCGCAGAAAAATTCGGGCGGGCCGCGGAGGAATTACGGTGAGCAGCAAAAAAAATTAGGGGGGTGGCAGTGGAGAAATTAGGGTGGGCCACGGAGAAATTACAGCGGGCCACAAAGAAATTAGGGTGAGCCACGGAAAAATGAGGGTGACCTTACGCAAGTTTGATTCTTCGCGTGTGTGTGCGCCGCTGCACGACGTTGTGCAATGAATTATTTATGATCTCGTTGATTGCATGATTCGTTTGAGGTTAGCATCACCTTGGCCTTGGCTAGAGTTACATGCACGCTAAATAATAGATCTCTATGCTCGTCTGCATCAGTAGTGAGCATGAATTATTATGCGAAATCTAATGTTTTCGTGGTATTTAGGCTATTACTTACTTTATGTTACTTTTACTATTACTTACTTATTCTTTACTTACAGTTTCTGGGTACATTTGCTCAAAGTACATGATAACCAGATGTGCATGACATGTTTTTAATTGATTAATGACAGATTGTGTATTGCTTTTTTTCTTCAAATTTATGAATTGAATGAATGAAATCAGGAGCTAGAATTGAACTGGTCTGGATTTCAGGAAAATTTTGGTTCGTCTTATGGGTCTTTCATTAGCAACCTGTTTTTTTCAAGCGTGATTTATAATATGCAGATTATTTGTCAGTTGTGGTGATTGTGTTTGTCTGAATCGCTTTGCAGGAGTCCTGCTGACAGGCTGTTTCACTATTTATAAAACAATTAATTTATTATACAACAAAGTAATTGACAATCGTAAGACAACCCAAGTTTCCAAATATTCGGCCGAATTCGAAAAAAACGAAAAAAAATCACTTATGTACATTCGGATATAATGAGATGGTTAGTGGTTAACCAATGCTACCTTCGTGCGTGCGTGCGTGCGTGCGTGCGTGCGTGCGTGCGTGCCTGCGCGTGAACGTTCATATGCTGGAAACAGTAGATGACGAGATGCCCCCCACCACCATAATATGCCGGCCCACTAATGTACTAATTACGATTGTATTTCTGATGTGTGTGCGCACAGCAGCCAATGCAAAGCAATTAGCTTTCCATATGCAATGGGCTGTGCAACTATGGTTAACGATTGATCGTGAAACAAATTTAATATTAAACGAAAATCCGTACTCAAAAATCCTGTACTCAATCCCTACTACGTGAGTATTTTGGGTTGGGTGTTTGCCATTGCCGGTTGTGTGCGATGGGAACAGCTTTTATAATGTATATTTATAGTATATAAAATAATTCGTAACGTTGCTTCTGCTTCAGGGTATATATTATATATATATATATATATATATATATATATATATATATATATATATATTATTATGACGAATCCTACTCAGTTTATACGTCTCTGCGGTGGTTTGTATGCGTACGTAAAATCCGCACGTTATTTGTTAACTGTTCTTTATGTCATCTGTTTACGAGGTTATTGGGAAATTGAGGGTGTGCCAAAAATTTGTCAATACGTACCATGTAAATGTTTTTTTAATGTTGCGACAGATTGGGATGTAAAACAGCGGAAATTACGTGTCGGCGCGTGGTAAGTATTAGAAATCGCTTCAATCAGGTTTTTAATGTCGATTCACGATAAGAGTACGCCTCAGCGAGTTACGCCACGTGCACACACGTCTTTGATATGAAATGCACGAATCACCATTAATTAATCAATCATTGTCCGTCATGTTTACAATGATGGCTCTGATGCTATCAATGACAAACAAGATTCCGTGTAAGCGGGTCTGTGCGTACGAATAATGGTCGATGAGAAAGCCGGGAGTGTAAATTTTGCAGATTTTATACTATTTGGTGTTTCGTTCTCTTCTTCTTACTTTGCTCATCTCACATATTGAAGTGAAGTTGGGAGAGCTAACCAGTGTTGTAGTAATAATATAGCACGTACGCAACGTTATTCTCAGGATTGCGTTAATTAATTTAGAAAAAATAGAATTATTATCGAGAGCACTAAAAACCACAGGGTTTTGATATAGTTTAATGTTTGGTTTAAAGCCACCAGTAAGGTTTGTGTGCGATGTTATGGTATGTTTGATGCGATGCATGTTATAATGAGAAAAAAATTATATTAATGAAATTCTTATATTTTATATATACCCTATAACATTTTAGCCTCTACAACTTTCAAATCAAGGAAAACCAAGTCGGATATAGATTTTTTTATAGGTTTTTTTATAGGTTATTATATAGAAAATTCTATTTTACTCACACGTTAATTCGTAAATATAACGTAAAATTGGTATTATTTATATTGTAGCTTTATATATATATATATATATATATATATATATATATGGGGATTGGCATGCATTTTTATAATAATATCATATGGACATGCGGTTATTAGGCACGCGTGGCTATAAACGTATAACATTGATGAAGTCGTTGTTGAAATTGTATAGATTGTATAGATATACATAATAAAGATAGTAATATTACGATAAAAACTCAAATTCGTGTTGTTGGAAAAAAGTTTATTGAAAATTCTTACGTATACGAACATCTACTCCCGTAGAGAGTTTTATTTAGTCATGAGTAACGTGCGTATGGTGACGAACGTTTTACGACTAAGCGTTTCGCGACATTCCACGTTATCGTCATTTTGAGACATTTGTATGACGCACCGCGAGTCGGTCACCGTCTTTCACATTAACGATGTTTTATATTCTCCAGCGGCCTCCACGCGCGCATGCGAAATGCCGGCAGCCGACAGCCAGTTCGTTCACCTCGCGAAACACGCGAAAGGAAAGTCGCGAGGAAATTCAACGAGATTGTGACGTCTGACGTGAGGTCATTGCGTCGGCTAACGGGCTAGATGGCATGTTATCGGCAGATGTTGATCGCTGCCTTGACGTCTCCTCGTTGCCTAAGATTATAGAGGAGATCTTCCTTCCGTATGAAAAAATGGCTTTTGTTTTTAACAGTGTATTCTGTAAGGGCCATGGGCCCATTGTCAGAAACATCGTAAAGTTAATGCTAATTGTTAAGACTAATGTTGAGACTAATTTTGTTTCTGACAACGGGCCCTAGCCCTTTATTCAGTCCAACCCTGACCTTCTGATCTTTAATTAGAATTTGCGGTCGATCGGATTCGTGGATTAGCGGGTGCGTATAATGTAAGTGAGCACGGTCGGGATGTAATGAGTGGGGTGATTATATTCAGCCCGGTGACCAGAAAACGTACGGCGCCCAGGCACCCTTATTGCATTTTCCTCTCACGACATTGAAGCGTATCACCAGTGAAACGCATTAGCAAAGTGTTCCCGACTCCGTGTAGACGTGATATTCAGGAGTGTATATATATATATATATAGAGAGAGAGAGAGAGAGAGAGAGAGAGAGAGAGAGAGAGAGAGAGCGAGAGAGCGAAAGAGAGAG